TGAACGTCAGTGACGGCAGGCTGAGATCCTCAACGCTGATTGGCTTCCGCGAGAACGCGTCACGTGAATTTGACGCTCGAGTTGAAAAAATTGAACTCTCGCGTTTAACGCGGCACCGTTCAATCGCCTCAATCGTGTGATTCGCGCCGCTTCATGCGCACCGTCGGAGCGAATTCGCGTCTGTCCGCGTCTCTGCATTGACTTTACATGTAATCGCGCCGCCCCCAAACATCGCATCGCGTCCGGTGTGAACGCAGCATTAGAAAAAAGGTTTTGGATGGTTGCTGTTTATATCAAGAGGAAGGATTTATGTTTATCATTCAATCTGGATTCTTTCACACCAGCATCATGCCCACAGCCATCTTTGCCTCCATTGTCCTGTTTGGTTAAATGTTGGTCATGTCTACCACCAAGTCAGAGACTGTATATCTAGAAAACCAAAACAAGATGTTAGAAATCTCTTCTTTTCTGCAGGCAAATGGCAATTTTCTGTCCATATTAGGACCTGAACAGGAAGGAGAAACGTAGGAGAAAATGTCCCACTAAAAAGGAGCTGTGTTTATATACATCTGAAGTGTGGTATTGGGTTTGTGCTTTTGGAAGTCTGTAACTGAACCAACTTAGACTCTGAATAGTACTCATCCTAGTATTAGGAGCTGTGTGTATATATATGAGGGGTTTCTGTCAGGAGATGATCAGGTTCCACCGAGATTTGAACTCCGATCGCTGGATTCAAAGTCCAGAGTGCTAACCATTACAGCATGGAACCATGAGGTCTTGGCTGTATTGCACTTGCTTTCTGCCAACTACTGAACTGTGTGCTTTGGTATATTCTGGGTTCACTCTTCTCCTAGTGGTCACAGATGGCTGTTGGTTTCTGGACCAATAGTCCATAGGGTTTTGCCCCCATTTCTTCAGGGAAGTTTTGCTATGATGAATGAATACCCAGAAATATCTGATCCTAGAAACCCAAAGGACACACATGTTAGAAAACTCTTGTTTTTGCACGCAAATGGCAATTTGTTGTCCATGTGAGGACCATCTGAACCCTAAACATGAAGGGGAGGGATTGGAAAAGTAGGACAAAATTGTCCAACTTCGATTTAAAGAGGAGCTGTACTATGAGTTTGCACAGTTGGTAACTGAACCAACTTAGAATAGCACTCATCCTAGTATTAGGAGCTGTGTGTGTATATATGAGGGGTTTCTGTCAGCAGATGATCAGGTTCCACCGAGATTTGAACACAGATCGCTGGATTCAAAGTCCAGAGTGCTAACCATTACACCATGGAACCATGAGGTCTTGGCTGTATTGTACTTGCTTTCTGCCAACTACTGAACTGTGTGCTTTGGTATATTCTGGGTTCACTCTTCTCCTAGTGGTCACAGATGGCTGTTGGTTTCTGAACCAATAGCCCATAGGGTTTTGCCCCCATTTCTTTGCGAAGTTTTGCTATGATGAATGAATACCCAGAAATATCTGACCCTAGAAACCCAAAACAAGACACACATGTTAGAAAACATGTCTTTTTGCAGGCAAATGGCAATTTCAGTCCATCCTCTGAACCCTAAACAGGAGGGGGAAGGGTTGGAAAATCAGAAAAAAAGTGTTTTGCTTCTGTTTTTATCAGACATTCAATCACCCCAGCTTAATGTTTAGTCTGGATTTCCTTGCTAACCCACAATGTTCGGCTAAAACGTGTTTGTTTTTATGTCTGCCAATGAGTCATGTACTGTATATCTAGCAACTCGGAACAAGACACACATACATCTCTTAATTTCTGCAGACAAATGGTCATTTCTGGTCCATGTGAGGACCATCTGAACCCTAAACAGGAGGGGGAAGGATTGGACAAATTGAAAAACCTTAGAAACAGTGCTGTTTTTAGACTCTTACTTAAAGGGGACCTATCATGCAAAATGCACTTTTGTACGTCTTTTCTACATGAATATGTGTCCCCGGTGTTCCAGGGAACTCACCAAGTGTCAGAAAACACAACCCTCTCTATTTTCCTCCATACCCAAATCTCTAAAAAAGGGGCTGCAACGGATCTGATAAAAACTGATCCAGATTTGAACACTGTCCTGACGTCAGGACGGTGGCGCTACGGCTATTGGGCCAACTCCACCAATCAGGAGGAGACAGCCACAGCCATTGCCGTTCGAAAGCGCTGGAGACGCTGTAGTACATATGCCAGGCCTCTAGATGGTGCTGTTCTCACTGAATCTGCCCTTGCAAAAACAGAGCTAACATTTTTCAAATTGAGCGAAATGAGGCATGGCTAAAATGCATGATCTGTTTGGTATTTTGAAAAAAATAAAGTATAAATATGCCTTATATAGGTATGGTCCTACACTATATTATTCAAATATAGCATGATAGGTCCACTTTAAGTTTTCTTACTAAATATGCAGAGATAAAGGGTTGGCATGGATGCTGTACAGTTCGAGGGAGAGGGTAGTTGTTTATCTGTCATTATCAGACATTTAAACCATTTTCACACCAGCATGCCCATAGCAATCTTTGACCCCATTGTCCTGTTGGGTTGAATGTTGAGTCTGGATTTCCTAGCCAACGCTCGGCTAAAACCTGTGTTTTTTCACGTCTACCAACGAGTCATGTACTGTATATATATATACAGTAACTCCAGATGAGGTCACCGTCACCACATTTCCAGTCATTATCGTGTTCCATGATTTCAGCCTTTTTACAGTTTTATCCCCTGCAGTCCAGACCTCGATACCTCAAACCGGATTGAGTAATGTGGTTTATCTCTGGGAGGAAATAGCAGAGGGCAAGGAGACGGACGGTTTGTACCTTTCACTCCGCTGCCCTTCCTTGGAGGCAAACGCCAATTTAGGAAACCACTGCTTTGTCATTATTTGATGTGTTGGTTCGTTTTTGGCTGTATATGAGAGAGAAGTATCGTCCCATTTGTGGAGCAAAGCAACATCCAACCCCCCCTAAACCAGCCAGACTGAACTGCCTCCACTCAGTCACGTAGCTAAAAGAATGTGGGTTGGTCTACTGGAGAGGAAAATGTTTATTTAATCGCTGCAAATAGTCTGAGAGGAAAAGCTCCGAGCTGGTTTTTGACGGCCTCACACTGACTGTGAACTAACAAACTCTGGCTGAGCTTTCTTAGACACTCACTCTTCTTTTCCTACATTGATAAACCTATCACTCTTTATCGGTCCATCAAAGTTACAAACCAAGACGGAAAACTGTTGAATTGGCCAATGTACATCTGATATTTGTGGACATTAGTTTGTGTTGAAGGGTTAGGTTTGATATTAAACCCCAGAAAAGACACTTCCAGGTTTAAATATCTTCAGATGCTTCACTCCTACAGCCATGACGTTTTGTAGGTTAACAGACATAATGGTGTACGACTGATAGAAATGATTCAAAGGCACACGCAGATGTCATATATTTCAGCACTGGCCCTTGAAATTCTAAAAAATGTACAAAATAGGTGTTTTTGGGGCCCGAGGCAGTTACTAAAAGCACATATATATGGATGCAACAATATTGCCTGCTTAAAATACAGTATTTTAATGATTTGGCCAATTTGAACAGAGCCATTTGTTACCATTTTGAGATGCCAAAAAGGCAATATGGACTCATTTATAGCACCATGACATTTTTCCGTGAAATGGGGTATATAGTATGTTAGCTTTTAATAAGGCACAGCTTTATAAGTGGTACATACAGAAGTTTATTGTTTTTTCAAATGTAGATTGTAATGGCCAAGGTGCTGCCAATTCCCTATCCTGTTGTCTATTTATTGAACAGATGTTTACACCATAAAGCAAAAATAATGGGCTAAAAGGTGCTAAAACGCCCAATAAACTAAGGGGAACTATAGTTTTGTGTAAACTTAATTGTACATTCGTCCTTACTTCTCCTCCCACTTACATTAAACACATCTAACTGATGCAGAAAACTGTTGACGAGTGCAGCTTTAATTACTCAGCAGGTAAATCTGGGTTTGGTTGATTGATGTTGTGCAACAGTGACACATTTAAGGGCAAAATAACTTCAGTATAAGTAGTATGTTAGTGTCCCAGTGTCTGTGGTTAAAGATGAAGTAGTGGTGGAAATAAATGTCAGTCTCCTAATTACCTCCTACTGCATGTGCACTCAAAATGCTGTTTTAGTGCTTTTTCTGACTGATGCTTTCCAGCGACACACTATAACGTTGTGCACGTGTTACCTTCAGCAGGGGGTCACGGTGTTAAGCATTAATAAAAGGAATCGCCGGCGAAATGTTTGGGCAATCTGGAAAAGATTTACAAGCAGACGCAAAAGCTGGGGGTCTTTGCATGTTACGTAACACAGGAAATACTGTTTCTAGACGCACGTATGGCCTGTTAACATCACATCAGAGTGCATCGAGGCAGAACATGGAAAGTCTTTCTTACACAACTAATACATTCCTCAAATGAAATCCAGTTTGTTCACTATGAATGAACTGAAGTGGGAATTCATTACACATAAACTGTATTATAAATGATATACGCCGATAGCATAAACAGGTATTTCTCTGTGATCAAAGAAGGTTAGATAAGGAATAGGAACAAATAGGAATAATGCTGGAAAACTCTAAATATATACATAATAGAGATATATACAGAAATAAATGAGGATTTGTTATCAATATATATAAATAATTAGCATCAGGATACTTTATTTATCCCGGGGGAACTTAGGTTTTCTGACCGTTGCTCCATTTTAGAGTAACACAATTGTATAGACATTAGAAGATGATGTAAAAATGTGCGATAAAACTATCCAAAAAATATTGTAAATGTAAATATTATAATTAAAAGTAAAGATTTGCATGAAATAAAATTGAATAAATAGATGAAAATATGCCAATATACAGTATATACATGCCTATTTGCGAGTCCAACGTAGGTACATACAGTACATCTTATTGTCATATATACATATTTGATTGACTTATTTGCACCTCTCTCAATGTTTCTGTCCACAGAACATGGATATCCAGGTGGAGGATGTGCGCATCCGAGCCATCCTGTCCTCGTATAGGAAGCGGATCCCGATGACGGAGGGCTACGTGGAGGTGAAGGACGGCGGGAAATGGAAACAGATCTGTAACACGGAGTGGTCTCCGCAGAACGCCCGAGTCATCTGCGGCATGTTCGGCTTCCCCGGGGAGAGGAAGTACAATGCCAGGGTCTACAAGTGAGTACAACTGTAACGTATTTGGTAGAGCTGTACCAAAAAGTTCAAACCATTGAAGCTTTAATGTAAGACAGCTGCAGGAATGAGTCCTAAAATGTAGCATTTGAGCACTTTGTGTTCCCTGGTCTGAAAGTCAATGGTTTCTGAATGTGTTTTTGGTTGTTATCCTGAAATGAGGTCTGTGGTTAACACAAGCTGAAGAGATTTTTGTTCTACGACATATAATACATCAGTAAATACCCCACTGGTGAATTTAAAAACGGTGGTCGCTAACAAGTGTCTAAATGAGACGACTAAACGTCATCACGCCCAGCATTAGCCACCTTTAGCTTAGCGGTGGTGAACGTGAAGTCATGTGACCGTGCTGTAGTTCCTTTATAGCCCAACATTAGCCTCCTTTAGCTTAGCGGTGGTGACGTGAAGTCATGTGACCGTGCTGTAGTTCCTTTATAGCCCAACATTAGCCTCCTTTAGCTTAGCGGTGGTGACGTGAAGTCATGTGACCGTGCTGTAGTTCCTTTATAGCCCAACATTAGCCGCCTTTAGCTTAGCGGTGGTGACGTGAAGTCATGTGACCGTGCTGTAGTTCCTTTATAGCCCAACATTAGCCTCCTTTAGCTTAGCGGTGGCGACGTGAAGTCATGTGACCGTGCTGTAGTTCCTTTATAGCCCAACATTAGCCACCTTTAGCTTAGCGGTGGTGACGTGAAGTCATGTGACCGTGCTGTAGTTCCTTTATAGCCCAACCTTTAGCATAACGTTAGCTTTTTACTTCAAAAATCAATTTATGAGTGTTAATATGCAAAGAAAACATGGTTTCAAAAAAGCTGAATTAAACAAAATGGCTCCTACATTATTGTTTTCAGACAGATCCAAACATTCCCAATAGATGTAACAACCCAATAAATAAACTGTTGTTATGTCTAAAAGTAAATTTTGTTTGATAAAAGAAGGATGTAATCATGTCTAATGTTTACAACATGTTTTCATCCAACCAAATAATCTGCTTCAGTCCATATTTGTTGGCGCTTTGCCTCAAAAACAACTTTTTTACTGCTATAAAAAACTATTTTGGCATTGAATGCGATGAATCATTTTCACAGCCTTAGTATTTCGCAATGATGTGGTCCAACAATTAAATACTGTGAGTCAGGGGCTGTTTTGTTGCATAACTCTGGGGAGGTAAAAGAAGGTCAATACTGATCTGTTTTTATCTCTTACATGTTTACCAGTCAACTCTGAGGAGCAAGATATGGTTGTTTAAGTTTATTTATAGAGATATACTTAATGCTGATTGGTAATTTTCCTCAAAACACTTTGCTTTACTTAATGGTTATGAGAAATATCTATATCAAACTTCTGCCTTTCCCACGCTAAACCCTAGAAAAAACAACACAAGTTAGTCAGGATTCCCTTTCATTTCTCACTATTGTACGGGTTTAAAACATAATTTGTGGAACTATAATTGGTTTAACCCTGTCAATGTATTTGCTACCCCAGCGGGAAGTATATTTACCCGAGTTTTAGCTCTGTTTTGGTCTCCTCCACAGTGTCTTTAGCTTCAAAATGCTCCACTATGTTTCTCTCTGCTGTTTTGTAATCAGGTAGTGTATAGTGGGTTTAGTGTATCTATGTCTTGTGGTTTTTTCACGAAACTGTGTCTCAGGGCTTCTTAAAGTGGACCTATCATGCTATATTTGAATGATATATTGTAGGGCCATACCTATATAAGGCATATTTATACGTTTTCATTTTCAAAAATACCAAACAGATCATGCATTTTAGCCATGCCTCATTTCGCTCTATTTTGCTCTCCTCCACCCTGTCTTTGCATGCGCTGCAGCTGACCACGCCCCCCTGCAAAGGAGGGGGCCGAGTTACGAGCGTCGTGTTACCATGCTGTTACCATGCTGTTACCATGCTGTTACCATGCCACGGCAACCTCTCATTCCCCTGATAGGTCAGCTCCTCCGTCCTGACATCAGAGAAAACGTTCAAATCTGGATCAGTTTTTATCAGATCCGTTGCAGCCCCTTTTTTTTAGATTTGGGTATGGAGGAAAATAGAGAGGGTTGTGTTTTCTGACACTTGGTGAGTTCCCTGGAACACCGGGGACACATATTCATGTATAAAAGACGTACAAAAGTGCATTTAGCATGATAGGTCCCCTTTAACATTTAACAACCTATTAATGTGTAATACCCACTTAACGGGAAGAAACTCAGCTAACTGACGATACGAACCATTTTTACCGAAACAAAACACAAGTCTCACAAGAAATGAGTGAGCCCTGAGCGAAAAAAATACTAACATACTAACTCACGGTATAAATACTTTATTACTTATCGGATCTGCACAAACAAGATATGAGCTAGCAAGGTGAGATTCCACATAAGTATCATCACTGAGCAATCAAAACTCGCGACACGGGAAGCAAACTCAGACATCGCACGACGTAGCTTTTGGGAGCAAAAACGGCAATATGTCTTACCTTAGCTGTTGTTCTGATAAAAAGTGGTCTTCAATTGCATTAAAACGATAAAAACGCTGCTGAAGGTTAATCCAACGTGTCTGCGTCACTTTGAAATGATTTCTGATAATCCATCCGCAATAAACCTAGTTTTCAGTTTTCAGAGTGTAACATAGCTTTCGTCTGCGTGCGCATCACTCTCACTCCTGAATGGAACGTCTAGGTGGATTTTAGGAACCTCCCCTCGATTCTATTGGCTCTAACGGTTAAAAAGAGGTGTCAATCATCAAAATCGACCAAGGGAAGCCAGACATATGGAAAATCCACCCAAATGACCCCAGAAGTGGGTTATTTTTTCTAAATCTCTCTAAAAAGGTCAAATGTCACTTGTTTTGCATCAATCTTGATACAGGGTACTTATTATATGTTGTACTTTGGATTCCTAAAGCTTTTAGTCTACTAACCCATCATCCAAGGGTAGTTTTCACTATAAGTTATGTTTTTCTTTGGACGGACACTATCATTTACATTTTTTTACTATGTTCAATCTGAATTTACTTTAAAATAAAAACATCTATATTGATTCTGACTTTTCTACATCCAACTCACAGGTTTATCATTGCTTTGAGAAAAAAGATTATTAATTTACCACTTTTAGAAGGGAAGATATGGTCATTTGTTCTGGGCATGTCATTTTCGAGCTTGAGACCTGAAAAACAGGCTCAGGGCTTAAGAGGTTAAGCGTTGGATGATTATTCTTTGGGCTTTAATCACTACAAGTAGCTCCTTATACATTATCCACAAAATACTGCTTCAAAAATATTAACCATCTTCACTCAATTTAATTATATGTACCCTATTACCTCTGTTTTGGTCTCCTCCTACGTCTCTATAGTTTCTAAATGCTCCACTATGTTACCGTCTGCTGTTTGCAGCTGAGAAAATATTGAAAAGTGGGTTTTTAGGATCTGCCTTTTTATATAAAACAGCCTGATTTGCCTGGAATACAAGTGGATGAGACAGTAAATCAAATCAGTAAAGTATCGGGCCATAATTAAACCAAAACAACGAGCTGAAAGACACATAAAGGCTTCAAAGAACTGAGATGAACTAAAGCATTGGATGATTATTCTCTGGGGTTTCACTACAAGCAAGAATATGTTCCATGTTTAAACAACACCAGGATATCAATTAAAACAAAACACTCTGAGACTAGGTTTTAATTTATGGTCCCATTACACAAACCCAGGGCTTTTGGGTCTTATGTTGGTTATGTAATGAGAGATGTCAAGTTACAGTGTGGAAATTATTCGACTGTGCGGTGAGTTACTTTGCCGACCTCATGCTGACACTCGAAACATAAAACTTCTCTGTCAGCGTAGATTATTACGGTATGTAATGTATTGCTTTAACGTTTTACCGCCATCTGCTCGCCAACTACATCGTCCAAGTTTTTGGTCATCTTGGACAAAGAAGACATTTATATTATAATAATCTTGGTTTAATTCACAGCAAGGTATACAAATGTACCCTGACCATATGGAGTGTCCAAGAGAAAAGTGTTAAACAACATCAAACATAGTCTTGTTTTAATTTAAACCCGCGATAAATAAGTTGTTTTTTAATGTCTTAAAATGACCTGGATTACCCTGAATCGTGCATGTTTCCAATGTGTGGACCAAATGCTTCGATTCAGAGGCTGTAATAAAATTAAAAACCCAACCTGAATCCTTCATGTTCCACATCAGTGCGTTCCTCAGCGATGTCGTAATGTATGAGTGACTCCCGGGGAGTTTACATGGGGGAGCCACAGGTTAATCACTGCTTCAATAAAACATCCAACACTGGAGTTAACCTTCAGTTTACTGCGTGCGTCTGGGTGGGAAGTTTCCTCTGCGTTAGCTAACCACAGCTGCCTCACTTTCCATCTACGTGTCTGTCAGCACATGAAACATGTGTTTTGTAACAGCGCTGACACGGAGCCACGCTCTGCTGTAGCTTCACAGTTTCATAATGTTGTTTGCTCCTTTTTTTGATGCTCCTGTGAAGCTAATCCAGAGTCCCTTAGGGAAGGCTGGGTTTAAATTGAAATGTCTCACCACAGAAACAAGGAAAAATGTAAAGCCTTTACATAAGGTAAGCTAACGTGACGCGAAGCTAACAATATGACATTTAAATCAATCCTGTGTAGTTTATCCAGAGTCCTTTAAGAATACTGGATTCTAATAAAAACGTCTAAATATTGAATTGTAGATGTTGTTGATCTCTGTCATGTAGCGCTAAGCTAACGTGACACTAAGCTACCGTGACACTAAGCTAACGTGACACTAAGCTAACAATACAAAAATTAAATAAATTCCATTTAGCTTTTCCAGAATCCCAGTTGGATTTAAATGAATATGTCTTACTACGGAAGAGAAGAATATGTGGATCCCTGTCCTATTGTGCTAAGCTAACATGATGCTAAGGTAACGTGGCGCTAAGCTAATGTGAAACTAAGCTAAGCTAACAAGAAGACATTGAAATCAAGCCTCAGATCTAAATCGAGCCCCTTGATATATTATTTTTAACTTCATTCAATTTACGTTAGCTATCCACAGCTGCCTCACTTTCCATCTACGTGTCTGTCAGCACACTTCCATGAAACATGTGTTTTATAACAGCGCTGACACGGAGCCACGCTCTGCTGTCGCTTCACAGTTTCATAATGTTGTTTGCTCCTTTTTTTGATGCTCCTGTGAAGCTAATCCAGAGTCCCTTAGGGAAGGCTGGGTTTAAATTGAAATGTCTCACCACAGAAGACAGGAACAATTTAAAGCCTTTACATAAGGTAAGCTAACGTGGCACTAAGCTAACGTGACTCTAAGCTAACGTCACGCTAAGCTAACATCACGTTTAGCTAAACAAAAAATCTAAAATCAATCCCATGTAGTTTTTCCAGAATCCTTTAAGAATACTGGATTCTAATAAAAACGTCCAAATATGGAATTGTAGATGTTGTTGATCTCTGTCATGTAGCGCTAAGCAAACATTACGCTAAGCTAACGTGACACTAAGGTAACGTAACGCTAAGCTAACGATATGTAATTTAAATCAATACCGTGTAGTTTATCCTGAATCCCTTAAGGAAGGCTGGATTTTAATTTAAATGTCTCACCACAGAAACAAGAACAATTTAAAGTCTATTCATAAGGTAAGCTAACGTGACGCTAAGCTCACGTGACGCTAAGCTAACGATATGAAATTGAAATCAATCCTGTGTAGCTCATCCAGAGTCCTTTAGGGAAGGCTGAATTTAAATGTAAATGTCTCTCCACAGAAGACAAGAAAATGTAAAGTCTATTCATAAGGTAAGCTAACGTGGCGCTAAGCTCACGTGACGCTAACGTGACGCTAAGCTAACGATATTAAATTGAAATCAAGCCTTTGTAGCTCATCCAGAGTCCTTTAAGAATACTGGATTCTAATTAAAATGTCTAAATACGGAATTGAAGATTTTGTAGTCTGTCATATTGAGCTAATGTGACAACACGCTAAGCTAAAATCACGCTAAGCTAATCAATGGAGCCCCTTGATATATTGCATTTATTTTTTACTTAATTTTCAAATGGAACTACTGCCACTAAAAGTTTATTTATATAGCACTTTTCAACACAAGCCAATTTAAAGTGAAAGAAATTAAGAGCATAAAACACATTAGAAACATTAAAAAGCAAAGATAATAACACATGAATAACAAAGGTACATGAATAAAAGTTACAGAGCAGTGTGAGATGTGAATAGTTCAATTAAAAGCTAAAATAAAAGTACTCAGCCTGGATTTAAAAGTAGTCAGAGTTGCAGCGGACCGGCAGGTTTCTGGGAGTTTGTTCCAGATATTTGGAAATATCCCTAACCACATTCTCACATTCCTCTACCCCAAGTCTTCCCGTGAAATTATAGTTCCTTTGACAGTTTTCTAACCTTTTTATATTCCTTTCATCCATTTTGCATCCCCAGACAACACATGTTCCTGTTTTACTGTTACCAAACCCCTCTTTGACCTTTAAACCACTTTCCTTTTCAATTCCCAGCATTAGGATATTTAAACCCGGGTAGATAAGTAATTCTGCTTCTGTGTGTCTGCAGGATGTTTGCGCGCCGCAGGAAGCCCTCGTACTGGGACTACGCTGTGAACTGCACTGGGAACGAGGCGCACCTCTCCAGCTGTAAACTGGGCCAGGTTTCACCGCTGAAGTCCAATGTGACCTGTGGGGGGGGGGCTGCCGGTGGTGGTGAGCTGCGTACCGGGAAGAGACTTCGCCCCCACCCCCATGACGGGGTTCAGGAAGGCCTTCAGACAGGAGGTAGGTTCATCTAAAACACACACTCAACCAGTGGTGCTTATTTTAAAGGTCTCCTATCAAGCAAAATGCACTTTTTATTAAAGGTCCCCTATTATACTGTTCTTCATCAATATATCCCAGGTCTCAGATATATACAGAGCCTGTCTCTGATTGGCTGAAATACCAAACAGATCATTGCAGCATCCCATAATCCCCTCTGTTTCAGCCCCAGTGTTTCCCCTACCATTGTCTTGGAGGGGCGCTGCGCCAACGGAGCCCCGCACCCCCCCTGAAATTCAAGGTGTTTAAAAAATAAATAAATTCAATTTTTTTTTTTTTTTAATAATTCTTTTTAATATATATATATACATATATAGCACCAAATTGCAACTAATCTATATCTACTGTCACTTTTCACATTGAACATGTGCTCTTTTATTAAATAAACTAAACACTTTCATTTTAAGTTGTGAGTTTAGTGTTGTTGACCCTAAGAAACACTGATGCCTTAATCAATAACAATAATCCACAGCTCCTCTCTTTGCTCCAGAGGATTTAAAAAAGTATATATCCCAATGCCACCCCCCCCTCCTGCCCCTCTGAGAGATATTTGGTTAAAAAGAACACAATGGTGGGGAGGGGGGTGGGGTTACCTTGGTTGCTGATTGGCTAATGGTGACACAAGCCAAAACATCGTTATGACATCATAAAGTGGACAAAATCTGATCAGCTCATTTTCAGACAGGTTTGAACCCCAGTGTGATGTTACAGTGGTTTCTACTCTCCACTGGATTAAGTGTCACTTTTTACGTTTAAGATGTTATCGCAAAGATAATAAAAGATACATAAAACAAGCTAATATAGAATAACACAGGTATAAAAGTCATGAATAAAAGTTACAGGGCAGTGTGAGATGTGAATAGTTCAGTTAAAAGCAGCGGCCAAAAGAAAAGTCTTCAGGCTGGATTTAAAAGTAGTCAGAGTTGCAGCGGACCTGCAGGTTTCTGGGAGTTAGTTCCAGATGTTTGGAGCATAACAACTGAACTTGTCCATGTTTAGTTCTGACTCTGGGGACAGGAAGCAGACCAGAGGACCTGAGAGATCTGGATGGGTCATCATGCAGCAGCAGATCAGAATAAACCATTCAATGCTTTATAAACCAGCAGCAGTATGAAGTCTCTGACAGACAGGAGGCCGGTGTAAAGACCTCACAACTGGACTGATGTGATCCACTCTCTTTTGTTTTAGTGAGACCTGTAAAGACACCATTATCCAGTCTACTGAAGATAAAAGCATGGACAAGTGTATTACACATCCAGTCTCTACTTTAAATACCAGCAGCAGTACGTCAACAGTAAACAGCGTCTTCTGTGTTTCAAAATACATCTCTAAATGTTTGTTAATGTTCGCAGCATGATCTGTAAACAGGAACCACTTCAAGCCTTCAGGGTTTCCTCTCAGGAGAACTTCAGGATAAAGTAAAAGTGTGTGTTTTCAGCAAGGTTGGAGTTATAATCTGAGCTTCATGGGGGTCTTTAAGACTAACGTTAGGGGCGGAGATAAATATATCAATAACAGCAGGGTGATATTTGAGAGAGAGAGAGAGAGAGAGAGAGAGAGAGAGAGAGAGAGAGAGAGAGAGAGAGAGAGAGAGAGAGAGAGAAGAGAGGACAGAGAGAGAGAGAGAGAGAGCGAGGAGAGGAGAGAGAGAGAGGAGAGAGAGAGAGAGACTGACTTCACTGCTCATTACGTGGTCCAATATTTGATTGCACCTTGGAGGTGAAGTGCAGGCATATTGTCATTCAAGAGAGAATACGATGCGTAGTTCTTTTGAAAACATGTTTTTCTTTTAGCCTATTTACCTCGTTAATGTAAATAATACTCATCACATTGAACATTTGTTATTTGTGTGTAAAATAATGGTTGTTGGCAATGTATTAGCGACCCCCACAGATGTATGATTTCACTGCTTTTATAGGAGCTCAGACCCTCCTTATGTCAAAGTCAAAGTCAACTTTAATGTCAATCTTCCAGTTTGCGTGTACAACATCCCATGATCCCGAATACAAATACAAATATATATGAAAATATGTATGCAAATATGTATATCCTACACTACAATAACTCAAAATCTTGCCAAGTATATGTGTCTAATATCTAGTCAGAATATGTCTCTACGTAAACAAAAGTGTCAGGTGCTGGATTTGAGTGTGTGTGTGTGGGGTGTTAAAGTCCAGTGGGGGCACTCGGCTCCCATTGGCTCCCACATCACTCGAGGGTGTTTCAGGGTGTGTGTTGTGTGTCTGCAGCAGCCGTTGGTGCGTCTCCGCGGGGGGGCCATCGTGGGCGAGGGCCGGGTGGAGGTGCTGAAGAACGGGGAGTGGGGAACCATCTGTGACGACCATTGGAGCCTGATGGCGGCCACGGTGGTCTGCAGGGAGCTGGGCCTGGGCACGGCCAAAGAGGCGCTGTCTGGAGGACGCCTGGGACAAGGTACACATACTGTGAGGAGGACGAGTTGCATTACTTTATACAATCAGAGAGGGCAGAAGTACACACATCCTTTACTCAAGTAAAAGTACACACATCCTTTACTCAAGCAGAAGTACAGATACTCGTGTTTAAAAATACTCTGGTAAAAGTAGAAGTACTGACTAAACTTCTTTACTCAAGTCAAAGTAAAGAGGCTTTGAAATGTACTTCAGTAAAAAGTACCCATAACTATGTTTTAAAGAGTACCTGACCTCCCTTTATATGAATAGAACAATAATGTCATTGTTAGCTAATGAGTGACGCCTGGGACAAGGTACACAGCATTTTATAATTGAACGTTTATTTATTTTTGATTTAAAGGTAATAAATAATATTGCGCTAAGCTAAAATGTATTATATCATTTTTTTTATTGTTTTACATTTTTTTAATAAATCAGAATACTTTTAGCTAAGTATACAAAGTCATTCAAACTAGCTGCACCTTTACCAGCTTTGAGAACACTTTCATGATCAATCATTATAAAATATATCATATATATTATTCTGAAATGGACCAATCTGCACAATCACTACTTTTACTGTCTCTACTTTCACTATATTTTGATGAGAATACTTTTATACTTTTACTTGAGGAACATTTTGAATGCAGGACTTTTACTGAAACAGAGTATTCCTACACTCTGGTACTTCTACTTTTACTCAAGTACAAGATCTGAGTACTTCTACTTTTACTCAAGTACAAGATCTGAGTACTTCTACTTTTACTCAAGTACAAGATCTGAGTACTTCTACTTTTACTCAAGTACAAGATCTGAGTACTTCTACTTTTACTCAAGTACAAGATCTGAGTACTTCTACTTTTACTCAAGTACAAGATCTGAGTACTTCTACTTTACTAAGTACAAGATCTGAGTACTTTTACTCAAGTACAAGACCTGAGTACTTCTACTTTTACTCAAGTACAAGATCTGAGTACTTTTACTCAAGTACAAGACCTGAGTACTTCTACTTTTACTCTAGTACAAGATCTGAGTACTTCTACTTTTACTCAAGTACAAGATCTGAGTACTTCTACTTTTACTCAAGAACAAGATCTGAGTACTTCTACTTTTACTCAACTACAAGATCTGAGTACTTCTACTTTTACTCAAGTACAAGATCTGAGTACTTCTACTTTTACTCAAGTACAAGATCTGAGTACTTCTACTTTTACTAAGTACAAGATCTGAGTACTTTTACTCAAGTACAAGACCTGAGTACTTCTACTTTTACTCAAGTACAAGATCTGAGTACTTTTACTCAAGTACAAGACCTGAGTACTTCTACTTTTACTCTAGTACAAGATCTGAGTACTTCTACTTTTACTCAAGTACAAGATCTGAGTACTTCTACTTTTACTCAAGAACAAGATCTGAGTACTTCTACTTTTACTCAACTACAAGATCTGAGTACTTCTACTTTTACTCAAGTACAAGATCTGAGTACTTCTACTTTTACTCAAGTACAAGATCTGAGTACTTCTACTTTTACTAAGTACAAGATCTGAGTACTTTTACTCAAGTACAAGACCTGAGTACTTCTACTTTTACTCAAGTACAAGATCTGAGTACTTTTACTCAAGTACAAGACCTGAGTACTTCTACTTTTACTCTAGTACAAGATCTGAGTACTTCTACTTTTACTCAAGTACAAGATCTGAGTACTTCTACTTTTACTCAAGAACAAGATCTGAGTACTTCTACTTTTACTCAACTACAAGATCTGAGTACTTCTACTTTTACTCAAGTACAAGATCTGAGTACTTATACTTTTACTCAAGTACAATATCTGAGTACTTATACTTTTACTCAAGTACAAGATCTGAGTACTTCTACTTTTACTCAAGTACAAGATCTGAGTACTTCTACTTTTACTCAAGTACAAGATCTGAGTACTTCTACTTTTACTCAAGTACAAGATCTGAGTACTTCTACTTTTACTCAAGTACAAGATCTGAGTACTTCTACTTTTACTCAAGTACAAGATCTGAGTACTTCTACTTTTACTCAAGTACAAGATCTGAGTACTTCTACTTTTACTCAAGTACAAGATCTGAGTACTTCTACTTTTACTCAAGTACAAGATCTGAGTACTTCTTCCACCACTGACTAACATGTATTATTATTTAAAACTGTGTACATTACAATACATGTGAAAACAACTTAATATAGTCTCTTCCCAGAATGCACCAGCAGTTTTAACTCAGGTTAGGAGGCACGTTCTGCACGTTCTGCACGTTCTGCACGTTCTGCACGTTCCTGTAACATGAGACGAGGAACATGTGGGAAATGTTTCCCATCAGGATTTCTCATCAGCTGAAACCGAAAAACCAAACTCAGTTGGAAAAAGTGAACTCACTTGTCAATAGTGATAAGAGAGAAGCATGAGGGGAGAGAGACGTTCACACAGGGATTTCAGCCTCTGCAGACCGTTGACATGCACTCAATCCTATAGAACTACAGGAGAGGGAAAACCACAAGAAGTAGAAGTACCTCTTTACACTTTGGGAAAGCCAGGCTAGTTGCTTACTTCTGTCTCCACACTGGAAACACCTGTACACACCTGCAGAGCGGTGCAGGGATGACGTATTTTTGTAGGCCGACCCGGAAATAAACTGCTCATGGGTTCCCTCGACAAAAAAGCAGTTCTTTATTTTGGAATATTGTAAAAAATAAGGTCTGTGGAAAACGAACCTGTTTGATAAATGCACGTTTTGTTCAGCTGGATAATCTCCACATGTCTACCCTACTTTTATAATGTTCTAATCATAAATCTAATGTCCAGAAGCTAAATGCTAACGTGATGCTATAAAGGAACTCCAGCCGAGTCCAGCAGCACGACTTCAACGTCACGCCAACTTCAGATCCATATTCAAACACACAGATTCTAAATGGAACGAGTTGAAGCGTTTGTTTGAACAGTTAGCAGGAGGCAGGTACTTGCTTTCAAGCAGAACAGGGCTAACTAACTTAGAGGAGTGTTTACGTGTTCGGCGTAATGACGTACAACGTCCACGACTTCTGTAGTCCTATTCAGCCACATCGTTTTTCAGACACGTCAACTCTTCAGAAATCACCAGTGGGGTCACTGCTGATGGATTTAATGTCCTAGAACAAAACGTGATCCGTCTCTTCAATGTGTCTCAACCACAGACCTTAGTTCAGATACTTTCCAGAAACTAGTTCAAAAGTCCCGTTGACTCTGAGACCAGGGAACAGGAAGTGGGGAAATGCTGACTCACTTCCTGGTTTTAGGACTCATTCCTGCACCACTCTATAGACCAAGAGAACATTTGCTTGGTAAGATTTCTTGAGATAAGATGGATATTTAGATAACGGAGATCTTGTAATTTGCTAGGAAAACTTATTTTGAACTGTGCCAGAAATGCTCAAAAGATTTCTGTTTTATTCAAATTGTTTTCATCTGAAATCCAACTCAAAATAAGATGTCTTAAAAGATACTTAAGGTGCATCGTCTAAAAACAAGACCCTATGTCTCACTGCATTGTTACTTCTTAAGTTATTATGTCTTATACCAAGTGTAAAGACATATTCTACCTGGAAAGTAGACAAATATACTTGGCAAGGGTTTGAGATTTTGTCGAGCAGTAATTTATGCTAACATAAAAAACCATGAACTCTTGCATCAATTGTTCCAAATGTAAACTACAGCTGCAAGACCTTCATGGACGTTTCTTAGTGGTCTCCATGGTAAGTGTTGTTCAGAGACAGTTTCCTGTGTGCTCCTCAGGGATGGGTCCGGTTCACATGAACGAGGTGGAGTGCTCCGGCTTTGAGAAGTCCATCACAGAGTGTCTCTTCAACAAAGAGTCTGCGGGCTGCAGCCACGAAGAAGACTCCGCCGTGCGCTGCAACGTTCCTGCCATGGGCTTCCAGCAGTCAGTGAGTACGACACGATACCATACCATACCATACCATTCCATACCATACCACACCATACCATACCATACCACACCATACCATACCACACCACACCATTCCATACCATACCACACCATACCACACCATACCACACCATGCCATACCATACCATACCATTCCATACCATACCACACCATACCACACCATACCACACCATGCCATACCATACAATAGCATACGATACGATACCACACCATACCATACCACACCATACGATACAATACGATACACTTTATTGTCCCCGTAAGGACTCCTTCCTGCAGTTACGCATACATGCAGTGGTGGGCCGTCAGCAGGGCCTTCTCTGCTGGCCCTGCAACCAATCAAATAAAGTGTGTGTAAAATGTTTTTCATTAATATTTATCCTCAAAATTACAAAATGAAGTAAGGTTTTGTTGAGGCTGAACTGGAATCTCCTACATCAAAAAAGTCACTTGAACGCCTGACAGTTATTTTAGTTGGCGGGGGGGGGAACAACAGATGCTGCTAGCCTTTTGTTGAAAGACGACACATCTGATTGGTAATAAGCATTACGCAGCCTACACACGGCGGCGTGCGTTGCTGCTTGGCGGTGGGCGTGTCTTGAGCTTGGGGAGTTTACGCGAGCAACGCGACCAATCACATGAATCTCCCGTGTCTCTCCCCAAGGGCTGGAAAATTGAAGAAGTGACCAGAAAGTCGCGTTTGTCAGCTGGAAAAAGCGATGTCTATTATTTTAGGTACTAAACGAACGGGGGCTTGCAAAACTTTTAGCTGCACAGGACACAAGAGTTTGCGGAAACAAGACAGGAGTTGATAATTGGAAGGGGGGGGTCTGTGTAAAGTTTGTGATGGGAAGGGGGGGGGGGTTCTGTTTGCAGCGGGGTAAAAAGGCTTTAAAAAGGCTCCCGTGTATGAATCTCACCATAGACATTAATGTCTAAAAAGAGATTTTTAATTAATGTCTATGGTGCTATTTTATGCAACATTGCATGGTGGCTAAATATACTGTCTATGCCTGCTGTCCATTCAAACGAAGTAAACTGGATATAAACTCCCCAAACAGGCGAAAACCTACCAGTTTCACCCACTGTCTCTGCCACCTCCCTCCATGCCTGGCTCCTCCGGTTTGTATCCCAGTAGGTGAACAGGGACTGAAAGCACCGGGTGATTCCCTACCGCTACGATTATTTTCTCCTCCATTTTTTGGCATATGAGGAAATGAACTGCGGCCTGGCTCTCCCAACATACACGCGGTTTGATTGGCTAGCGCTTGAACTGGCAGATTTGCATACGCGGGATTTGATTGGCTGCCGCCTCCGCCTCAGCTTCAAAAGTAGAACATTGCTCTACTTTTGCAGCGAGCACCGCGAGGAAAGCTACGCTTTGCTCCCAGAATGCAGTTCGGCGAATCGTGACGTCACCCTATTCAAAGTGAATGGGCAGAAGCGTTGAAGCGTCAACGCACGCCGCCGTGTGTAGGGGCCGTCAGTGACAGATTCATCAGCCAATCAGATGTTCATGTTCAATGACAGCGTCCTGAGCTAAACTTCTGTCATGAACTTCCTTCGTAGCATCGACTTTATTTACAAGTGAGCACGTTACTATTCACGTCATTTTAGAGCGACGTGAGAGTGCACGATGACACACGTTTAATAATAGATGACTTCACTGATCAATGTTGGGACATGTCGTCTGCTTTTAACCCTTATCTGGCTGACTGTTGTGATTGTTGATCAGCTGTTGTATTGTTGATCAGCTGTTGTGATTGTTGATCAGCTGTTGTGATTGTTGATAAGCTGTTGTGATTGTTGATCAGCTGTTGTATTGTTGATCAGCTGTTGTGATTGTTGATCAGCTGTTGTGATTGTTGATCAGCTGTTGTGATTGTTGATCAGCTGTTGTGATTGTTGACCAGCTGTTGTAATTGTTGATCAGCTGTTGTGATTGTTGATCAGCTGTTGTGTTGTTGATCAGCTGTTGTGATTGTTGATCAGCTGTTGTGATTGTTGATCAGCTGTTGTGATTGTTGATCAGCTGTTGTGATTGTTGATCAGCTGTTGTGATTGTTGACCAGCTGTTGTAATTGTTGATCAGCTGTTGTGATTGTTGATCAGCTGTTGTGTTGTTGATCAGCTGTTGTGATTGTTGATCAGCTGTTGTGATTGTTGATCAGCTGTTGTATTGTTGATCAGCTGTTGTGATTGTTGATCAGCTGTTGTGATTGTTGATCAGCTGTTGTGATTGTTGATCAGCTGTTGTATTGTTGATCAGCTGTTGTGATTGTTGATCAGCTGTTGTATTGTTGACCAGCTGTTGTATTGTTGATCAGCTGTTGTGATTGTTGATCAGCTGTTGTGATTGTTGATCAGCTGTTGTGATTGTTGATCAGCTGTTGTATTGTTGATCAGCTGTTGTGATTGTTGAGAGACTGTTGTGATTGTTGATCAGCTGTTGTGATTGTTGATCAGCTGTTGTGATTGTTGATCAGCTGTTGTGATTGTTGATCAGCTGTTGTGATTGTTGATCAGCTGTTGTATTGTTGATCAGCTGTTGTGATTGTTGAGAGACTGTTGTGATTGTTGATCAGCTGTTGTGATTGTTGATCAGCTGTTGTGATTGTTGATCAGCTGTTGTGATTGTTGATCAGCTGTTGTATTGTTGATCAGCTGTTGTGATTGTTGAGAGACTGTTGTGATTGTTGATCAGCTGTTGTGATTGTTGATCAGCTGTTGTTATTGTTGATCAGCTGTTGTTATTGTTGATCAGCTGTTGTATTGTTCAGAGACTGTTTGGCATACTGTGAGCATTATCTGATCATGGCTGCGTTGGCTGGAACAGAGACGTGTAAAGTGTGTGTACTGGATGTGCTTTTCAATGTGTTGACTGAAGGCCCCGTCTAAAGCCCCGCGGTACGCCACAGCATACATGTACATATACAAACATAATAAACATTAAAATACATACACATATGTACCGTTTGAACACAGACTGATGCAGGCGACCTGTTGCACAACCCTCATGGCCAACATTTAAAAGTGTATCACATGTGAGTGTTGAGACTCTTGATGGACAGACTGTAGGCAGGAGTGAGTGCTTATAGAGAGTCAGCCTGAGTACAACGTTCCTTGTTTTCTATCAAGCCACTAGACGGACATTTTTAACTTGTTTTCTTTCCTTTATATTCGTGTTACTCACAGTTTGATGAGTTGCTCGAAATAAAATAACAAACGTTTACACATGCAACAAAATAGAGGGCTTTGAGGCTAGAATGGGTGATCTGTTAGGTATTTTGAGCACTTCATAGACATGTTTTTTATATATATTTATATATCTGAGACCTATAATATTTGCCTAAAAACAGTGTAATAGGAGACCTTTGTGTTGTTTTCTCCCAGCTGCGCCTCAGCGGGGGCAGGAACCCCTTCGAGGGCCGGGTGGAGGTCCTGATGGAGAGGAACGGGTCCCTGGTCTGGGGCACGGTGTGCAGCGAGGGCTGGGGCACCATGGAGGCCATGGTGGTCTGCAGGACGCTGGGACTCGGGTTCGCCAGCAACGCCTTCCAGGTACCCTCACACATCCTTTACTCAAGTACAAGTACACACATCCTTTACTCAAGTACAAGTACACACATCCTTTACTCAAGTACAAGTACACACATCCTTTACTCAAGTACAAGTACACACATCCTTTACTCAAGTACAAGTACACACATCCTTTACTCAAGTACAAGTACACACATCCTTTACTCAAGGAGAAGTACACATACTCGTGTTTAAAAATACTCTGGTGAAAGTAGAAGTACTGACTAAACTTCTTTACTCAAGTCAAAGTAAAGAGGGCTTTGAAATGTACTTCAGTAAAAAGTACCCATAACTAGCAGCTGTTTTAAAGAGTACCTGACCTCCCTTTATATTAATAGAACAATAATGTCATTGTTAGCTAATGAATGTTTCCATGCTGAACAACGGCAACATGACAACGTTTTCATTGGTCCCTCTTCTTTAGAGAAGACCAGGAAATGATGGATACACGGATCGTGTTCAAATCAATAGGCACGCAATGACTCTAAATAATAATGATCACGCCACCAGACACACATTCAAACTAAAGGAACCAGCCTGTTTGGGAAATGTGAGAAGTAGAAAGTACAGGTATTTGGGTTCAACATGTAAGAAGTAGAAAGTACAGGTATTTGGGTTCAACATGTAAGAAGTAGAAAGTACAGGTATTTGTGTTCAACATGTAAGAAGTAGAAAGTAAAGGTATTTGGGTTCAACATGTAAGAAGTAGAAAGTACAGGTATTTGAGTTCAACATGTAAGAAGTAGAAAGTATAGGTATTTGTGTTCAAAATGTAAGAAGTAGAAAGTACAGGTATTTGTGTTCAAAATGTAAGAAGTAGAAAGTACAGGTATTTGTGTTCAACATGTAAGAAGTAGAAAGTACAGGTATTTGTGTTCAACATGTAAGAAGTAGAAAGTACAGGTATTTGTGTTCAACATGTAAGAAGTAGAAAGTACAGGTATTTGTGTTCAACATGTGAGAAGTAGAAAGTACAGGTATTTGGGTTCAACATGTAAGAAGTAGAAAGTACAGGTATTTGTGTTCAACATGTAAGAAGTAGAAAGTACAGGTATTTGTGTTCAAAATGTAAGAAGTAGAAAGTACAGGTATTTGTGTTCAACATGTAAGAAGTAGAAAGTACAGGTATTTGGGTTCAACATGTAAGAAGTAGAAAGTACAGGTATTTGGGTTCAACATGTAAGAAGTAGAAAGTACAGGTATTTGGGTTCAACATGTAAGAAGTAGAAAGTACAGGTATTAGTGTTCAACATGTAAGAAGTAGAAAGTACAGGTATTTGGGTTCAACATGTAAGAAGTAGAAAGTACAGGTATTTGTGTTCAACATGTAAGAAGTAGAAAGTACAGGTATTTGTGTTCAACATGTAAGAAGTAGAAAGTACAGGTATTTGGGTTCAACATGTAAGAAGTAGAAAGTACAGGTATTTGGGTTCAACATGTAAGAAGTAGAAAGTACAGGTATTTGGGTTCAACATGTAAGAAGTAGAAAGTACAGGTATTTGTGTTCAACATGTAAGAAGTAGAAAGTACAGGTATTTGGGTTCAACATGTAAGAAGTAGAAAGTACAGGTATTTGTGTTCAACATGTAAGAAGTAGAAAGTACAGGTATTTGTGTTCAACATGTAAGAAGTAGAAAGTACAGGTATTTGTGTTCAACATGTAAGAAGTAGAAAGTACAGGTATTTGGGTTCAACATGTGAGAAGTAGAAAGTACAGGTATTTGTGTTCAACATGTAAGAAGTAGAAAGTTCAGGTATTTGTGTTCAACATGTAAGAAGTAGAAAGTACAGGTATTTGTGTTCAACATGTAAGAAGTAGAAAGTACAGGTATTTGTGTTCAACATGTAAGAAGTAGAAAGTACAGGTATTTGTGTTCAACATGTAAGAAGTAGAAAGTACAGGTATTTGTGTTCAACATGTAAGAAGTCAAAGTAAAAAGTGGTCAGAAACATAAGAAGTGTAGTAAAGTACTGATACCAGAAACATGTACTTAAGTACAGTAACAATGTATTTGTACTACAACCAATCAGGGGAGGGGATTCATGTTCTCTCAAGATCAATAACACATCTCAATCAGAAGAAATCAGAAGGTAGGTTGACCCGTATGAGGAATTTGACTTGATGTCGTGGTGCATACATACAGTAAAAGTAAAAGTAAAATTAAAAACACAGACAGAGAACTATTTGAACACAGAAGTCCCAGTTCGAGACATTTTGATTTCACTTCAGGTCAAATGAGTATTTCTAAATCTCCCAAATCTGGACCATGATCAGTTTCTGTCTAATTACATTTACTTTAGGAAGTTAATTGGAAATAACTTCATAATTTGTTTTGCACACAAGTCCTCACGTGACCCTGATATCAAAAGGTAAAGTCCGCCACCTAGTGGTCAAAGTGGAGAATCGCCTTTCTTCACAATTATTCATGGCACTTCAAAAATGTAATTTCTGTAATAAAAAACGAGCTTCAAATGGATTGATTTGCATAACAAGGAAGTACATGTTACCTCCTATATTTAGCTTGAGTTACATTGTAATATTTGCAGGACTTTTACGTATGAATGAATTTTTTTCGATTGGTGAATTTGTTAATAAAATACTATTCCTAAAATATTTTTTTGTAACACATCTGATAACAAAATAAACTAGAATAGGTGTTGGAAAGCTCAGAGCCCTACTATATGAAGTTTAAAATGTAAAAATAAATATACATTTCACAGTCGGGAGCTCATATTTCCCATTATTCCGTCAGCACACGAATGCAGCATCTTTCTGTTTCCCAAAGTTAAGAAATATTGTGTTTCTCTTTGACTCCTTGAAGCTTGAAGTCTTCATGACTTCAGACGTGTTGGTTTGACCCGGTTCTGTAGTATTTCTAAATCTCCCAAATCTCGACCATCAACAGTTTCTGAACAATTACTTTGACTTTAGGAAGTTAATTGGAAATAACTTCATTATTTGTTTTGGACACAAGTCGCCCCGGCCTCATGTGACCCTGATATAAAAAGGAAAAGTGCGCCCTCTAGTGGTCAAAGCACTGAATGACCCTACTTCAATTCAAAGTCATTGGAGTTCTATTTTTACTTTTACTTTCATATACAATTCCTAAAATATTTGTTGTAACACATCTGATAACTAAATAAACTTGACTAGGTGTTGGAAAGCTCAGAGCTCTTCTATATATACAGTTTAAACATTTAAAATAAATATCAATTTCGAGGAACTCATATTTCCCATTATTCCTTCAGCACGCGAATGCAGCATCTTTCTGTTCCCCAAAGTTAGAATACTTTTTGAGTCGCCTCAGCTGGTTTCTCTTTGACTCCGTGATGCTTCCTGTTCATGATATATCAATCTGAATCTTTATCTATTTATATATCACATTTAAAATAACCTCAGGTGACCAAAGTTCTGTACAGGGAACACATACAATATAGAACAACACAACAGGAGTAAAATAATAAAACAATAATTAACAATAAGAGAAAAAAGTACAATAACTAGAAACATGATATCAGACGTGTTGTGTTGGTTCTGTCCCCCCCATGTAGTGTTTCAAATGTAAAATAAATATCAATTTCAGACTAACTTTAGGGGGTGATCACTTAAAGTGGACCTATCATGCTATATTTGAATAATATAGTGTAGGACCATACCTATATAAGGCATATTTATACTTTTTTCTTTTCAAAATACCAAACAGATCATGCATTTTAGCCATGCCTCATTTCGCTCAATTTGACATTTTTTTAGCTCTGCTCTGCAAGGGCAGATTCAGTGAGAACAGCACCACCTACAGGCCTGGCATATGTACTACAGCGTCTCCAGCGCTTTGGAACGGCAATGGCCGTGGCTGTCTCCTCCTGATTGGTGGAGTTGGCCCAATAGCCGTAGCGCCACCGTCCTGACGTCAGGACAGTGTTCAAATCTGGATCAGTTTTTTATCAGATCCGTTGCAGCCCCTTTTTTAGAGATTTGGGTATGGAGGAAAATAGAGAGGGTTGTGTTTTCTGACACTTGGTGAGTTCCCTGGAACACCGGGGACACATATTCATGTAGAAAAGACGTACACAAGTGCATTTTGCATGATAGGTCCCCTTTAAAATATCACAGTCCGGAACTCATATTTCCTATTATCCCTTCAGCACATGAATGCAGCATCTTTCTGTTTCATTTTTTAAAATGTTATTATTTATTCTACTATTTCAACAATTAGACAGTTTATACATCTGAGAAACAAAAGAAATGAGTAGAAGCGGGAGGGCAGAAAGCAGAGTTTATACGGAGGTAGCCCATCCAGTTGCAGGATAAAGAAAAAAAGATAAATCCGTAATTAAATACGCACACAGAAGTGTTAGAAATACTGTTTGTGTCGCCTCAGTGTTTCTCTTTGACTCCTTGAAGCTTCCACAGGTCTTCATCAAATCAAATCAAATCAAGTTTTATTTATAAAGCACATTTAAAAGCGATTTTTGGTCGAGCCAAAGTGCTGTACATGTAATAAAAACACATTACTACAATCACAATAAAAGACAATAAATTACAACAGATATATATAAAAAAACAAATTAAAAAAAACACAAGGAAAAGTCAGGAGTCGTGCTCCGCTCTGACTAGAAGGCCAGAGAGAAGAAGTGTGTTTTTAGTGTAGATTTAAAAACCCCTAGGGTCTGGGCCGACCTCACATGGAGGGCAGAGTGTTCCAGAGCCTAGGGCCAGCTGCTGAGAAGGCTCGGTGCCCTCGGGTTTTAAGCCTGGTCTTGGGCACTACCAGCAGCAGCTGGTTAGCAGACCTTAAAGGTCTGGCTGGGGTGTAGCGCTGGAGGAGTTCAGCTATATAGGCCGGAGCCAGCCCATTTAGTGCTTTAAAAACAAATAAAAGGATTTTAAAATCAATTCTGAACCGAACTGGAAGCCAGTGCAGTGAGGCCAGAATAGGGGTGATGTGGTCACGCTTTTTGTGGCCAGTCAGCAAACGTGCAGCCGCGTTTTGGACTAGCTGCAGGCGTTTAATTGAGGCCTGGTCCATACCCACATACAGAGCGTTGCAATAGTCCAGTCTCGAGGTTACAAAGGCGTTAATAACCCTTTCTAAGTCTTTAAAAGATAAATACGACTTGGTTTTGGCCAATAGTCTTATTTTAAAAAAAGCAGGATTTGACTACAGTGCTGACCTGCTTATCGAATTTAAAAGTGCTAGTGAAGGTCACTCCAAGGTTCATGACCGAGGGGAGGATGTTTTTTTTGAGAGAGCCCAGAATATCAACCGGAGAGGCTGGAGGTTGGGGTCCAAAAAAGATGACCTCAGTCTTGCTCTCGTTGAGGTTGAGAACGTTTTTGCTTCATGATATCAGACGTGTCGGTTTGACCCGGTTCTGTAGTATTTCTAAATCTCCCAAATCTCGACCATGATCAGCTTCTGACTAATTACTTTGACTTTAGGAAATGACTTGTTTTGCACACATGTGCCCCGGCCTCAGGTGACCCTGGTATAAAAAGGTAAAGTCCGCCCTCTAGTGGTCAAAGCACAGAATCACCTTTCTTCACAATTATTCATGGAGCATTAAAAATGTAATTGATTTAGTTGATTTGTTTATAGTGTCGTGGACAGACCCATTGATCAATATCACAACAAACAGTAAATGGGGCATTAGCTTTAGCCAACATGGCTCACTTCCAGCTGTTGTCCTCAGCCAGATGATAACAGACACCTTTTTAAAATCACTAAACATTGCCATATCTGTAGCTGCTGTGCACATGACAATACAGCCTTGAAATGCTTCCACTTGTGTTCATGATATCAGACGTGTTGGTTTGACCCGGTTCTCCCCCCCCCCCCATTTGGTTTTCCCTGATGTTTATTTTCTTTAATTTAATGTATTAGTCCCAGATTGAGATCAATACATTCTTTTTTAATTTGTATTTCCCCCCCCCCCCCTTCAGGAGACGTGGTACTGGCCGGGCGATGTGAGTGCTGACTCTGTGGTGATGAGCGGGGTCCGATGCTCCGGCACTGAGATGTCTCTGAACCACTGCCTGCACCACGGGGCCCACCTCAGCTGCTCCAAGGGGGGGGGGCCGCAACGCCGCCGGGGTCTCCTGCTCAGAGAGTAAGATCACTACACTTTATTTTATTTAGTAGTCAACATAATAATATAATACTAAGAACTAAACCGATGATTAATGCCAGGTGTATTGTGAGTAGAACCATTTCCCCCTCAGTGTCCTGCACTATACACTGTATATATCAGCGACGTGCAGTCAGTGGAGGCAGGGGAGGCAGAGCCTCACCTGTCATACTCCAATGTAACGGAAAAACAACTAAAGAAAAACGAAATAGTAATAATAATAAAATGTCTCCACTGATCTTGTGTAAGTGTGATTTCTGTATGATTCTAATCGCTTTTTATAGTCAAAATCAGCAAATTTGCCGAGCTCCGCTACGGGAGCGATGAGAAGTGAGGCAGGGACGAGCTCTGCCTCACGTAAGCCCACAGTAACTTGCTGGAGCGCGGGCACTCATTTAGCGCGGGCACTTATTTTGTGAGCGCGCTCAAGCCATTTACTGTGGGGTGAGGTGAGGCACAGATGAGATCTGCCTCACTTCAGAATGCGTCACCCCACAGAAACTGGCTGGAAAGCGGGCCCTAAGCGCATGCCTGTTACCCTCTCACTGTAGGTCACCAATGTAATGTTTGTAGATCCCTTTATTACATTTATCCTCGCCATCCATAGTCTCTAAATAACTTATTTCACGTATATATGATATTTAAGCTCGCTGGTCTCAACGGCAATGAAAAAGCACCAGGAGAGGCAGCCATAACCTCTGCCGCACTGCAGGGGGCGCACGTGAGCCCACAGGTTCTTGTTGCTACTGTTATTCTACGCAGAGACGGTAGACGCAAACAACAAACTAGACTTTTGAAACTACAGGAAGATAAGGAGGACTTTTACAAAACAGTAATAGAGATTGTTGTCCAGAAGGATAGCATGGACTTCATCTTCAAGTCAAGGTAAGACCACATTTCTAATGAAAATGGGATCTTACTAAGAAAGAACAATCCAATATTTAGATTTTGGGTATCCTTTTGTTGATCGGTCTGTTTGAAATGAATCGAAGCATCAGACTAAAAAAGCTTTTGAAAATAACAGAATATTTCGATTAAGGTCAAAATATAATATTTGTAAATCTGACTCAGTGAGTCAGTGCCTCACCAGCCATGAACCTCACCGCACGTCACTGGTATATACGTACACACACTATATATAAGTACACAGACTGTATATAAGTACACAGACTGTATATAAGTACGCACACTGTATATAAGTACACACACTGTACACACACTGTATATAAATACACACACTGTACACAGTGTATATAAGTAAAAACAGTGTATATAAGTACACAGACTGTATATAAGTACACACACTTCCACTAAAATTCCAGAACCATTTCCCCACCTTTCTAACTACATGTTCTCCACCTTTTTTTATCTAATATATCATATTCCAGTTATATAGACTCTCCTTGCACTATTTCTATTGTATTTTATTTGTATTTACTTATTATACTATTTTAACTATTTTATCAGTTTTATTGTGTTGCTCTGTTGGAGGAGCCTGTGACCTGAGATGTTCATTGTCATATCTCCACTGTAGCTCTGTACAAATGACAATAAATGCCTTGAATCCTTGAATCCTTGAATCCTCTCTAACCTCCCCTCCCCCCCCAGCGGCCCCGGACCTGGTCCTGAACCCTCAGGCTGTGGAGCAGACCACCTACATGGAGGACCGGCCCATGTTCATGATGCAGTGCGCCCAGGAGGAGGGCTGCCTCTCCTCCTCCTCCAGCCTCACGCCGGCCACCTCGTACCGCCGCCTGCTGCGCTTCAGCTCGCAGATCCACAACAACGGCCAGTCCGACTTCAGGCCCAAAGCGGGGCGAAACTCCTGGGTGTGGCACGACTGTCACAGGTCAGAAACACCACGTTATTTTAAACCATGAATGCACCGTATGATACGTGGAGCGGCCACAAAAAAAGTGTGTGTGTGTGTGTGTGTGCAGGCATTACCACAGCATGGAGGTGTTCACCCTCTACGACCTGTTCACTCTCAATGGGACTAAAGTGGCAGAAGGACACAAAGCCAGTTTCTGTCTGGAGGACTCGGAGTGCGATGAAGGTGAGGAACAACACAAGAAGTCAAATTATGTCTGAAAAAAGTCACAATTAATAGTAGTTGAAAAATGTATTCGTAGAAAAAATTAAATTTAAAAAAATTATCTAAATTCTAAAAAAAAAGTCAAAAATCTGAAAAAAACTTGAATTACTAGAACAAGTGAAATTATGACTAAAAAGTCAAATTACGACTAAAAAGTGAAATTATGTGAAGAAGTCAAAATTAATAATAGTTAAAATTGGTATTCTTGAAAAAAAGTGAATTTCTGAGAAAAAAGTCAAAATTCGGAGAAAATATAACATTCGAAAAAAAAACACGAATTTAGGAAAAAAGTCTGGAGAAAGAAAATTGGATTTTTGGTATATTTGACATTTTTTGAAAACTTTTCAGCAAATATTTCATTAATTTCGTCCCGTTTCCCTGCAGGTATTGAGAAGAGATATGAATGTGCTAACTTTGGGGAGCAGGGCATCACAGTCGGCTGCTGGGATACGTACCGACACGACATCGACTGCCAGTGGATCGACATCACAGACATCAAACCTGGAGACTACATCTTCCAGGTGAGGAATCCATAAAGAGCCATACAACTGAGAAAATAAATACAGTATTTAAAGGAACATTTAAAGAGAAATAAAGGAAATAATTCATATTGTAATATTGGGGGAAATAAAAGTCCTAAGAGAAATACATTTAAAAAAATACCAATTAATAACACTATATATAAATGAGGCAGACAACAAAGTTCTTCCTATTTTCCATTTGTATTATATTTTCTTGCCTCCATGTAAAGAGTGATATGATCTATATGTTGACATGTTGATATTCCCCCTCACAGATCGTGATTAACCCAAACTACGAGGTGTCGGAGTCGGACTACAGCAACAACATCATGAAGTGCAGATGTCGGTATGACGGACACCGGGTCTGGATGTACAGCTGCCATAACGGTGAGGAAAAAGTCCAATTCTGGGAAAATGTAAAAAATCTGAAAAAAACTTGAAAAATCAAATTATGTTTGAAAAAAGTAAAAATTAATAATAGTTGAATAATGTATTCGGAAAAAAAATAGTTAAATTCTGAGAACAAAATCAAAATTCGGAAAGAAATGTCAAAAATCTGAAAAAAAACTTTCATTTTTGGAAAAAGTCTAATTATGACTAAAATCAAATTATATTTGAAAAAAGTCAAAATTAATCAAAAAGGAAAATACAGTGAAATTCTGAGAAGAAAACATGAATTTATGAAAAAAAGTCAAAATTCTTGGAAACAAATCTAAAATCTGAAAAGAATCTGAAAAAAAACTTGAATTGTTGCAACAAGTCAAATTCGGACTAAAAAGTCAAATTCGGACTAAAAATTGAAATTCTGTTTGAAAAAAGTAAAAATGTATAGTAAAAAAAAAGAGAAATTCTGAGAAAAAACATGAATTTATGAAAAAGTCTAAATGAATAATAAGAGACGGCAATCACTTATCTCGCAAATGTAGGTAAACTATTCTTGACCTACCTTCCCTTCAGTTAGACTGCTTTTTTATCAACTTGAATTCACTGTATTTATCTGAAGAGTGGGCTCATTTAACACATGAATACTCCCGTGTAATATCTGTTAACATATAATAATTAAGAAGTAAGCCATACTCCATTATAGTTGAAGAATTAGTTGAGGGCCAATTAAAAAAGGGACCACGGGCCGTAGTTTGGACACCCCAATGACTTTAAAAAATGTGTTTTTACATGTTATACTAGGCAAGGCAAGGCAAGTTTTGTTTTTGTTTAATCGGAGAAAGTTCTGACTCATCCAGTCATTGACGTGCTCAATGCACTTACTCAGTGTTGTAATTGGAGAGTATTCTCCTGGTGAAATTGTTAAATACATTTGGGTGTCATCTGCATAGCTATGATAACTTAGGTCGTTGTTTTTCATAATTTGAGCAAGTGGTAGCATATAGATATTAAAAAGCAGAGGTCCTAAGATAGAGCCTTGAGGAACCCCACATGTCATATTTGTCAACGCTGATGTGTAGTTGCCTATAGAGACACTAGTGCATTTTTTATGATTTGTTTTAGGACATACTATACTATGAAGGTTTGGACACCCCCAGGTATAAAGTATGCAGATAGACCACCTCATATTACTCATTTTAGGTGACGTGTAGAGTTATATATTTACAGATATATATATATAATGTGTGTGTTCCTGCAGGCGGTTCTTTAAGCACTGAGACGGAGGAGACGTTCCCCGGCCTCCTGAACAACCAGGTGACCCACAGGTAGACACTCTGAAGACCCCTGAACAACCAGGTGACCCACAGGTAGACACTCAGAAGACCCCTGAACAACCAGAAACACCTGAACAACCACGTGACCCACATGTAGACACTCTGAAGACCCCTGAACAACCAGGTGACCCACAGGTAAACACTCTGAAGACCCCTGAACAACCACGTGACCCACATGTAGACACTCTGAAGACCCCTGAACAACAAGGTGACCCACAGGTAGACACTCTGAAGACTCCTGGACCCCATCCAACATCCGAAAACTCCTCTTCAAAGCATCTTTAAATATTCTCCTTCATCCACGAGGCAGCATCTTCTATTCTTCCTCCCATGAAGCCAAAATGTGTTCAAAATGTGTTCAAACAGAGCGATTACAGCTATTTCTGAGTCCTGACAACTATGACTTATTTTGGATACATTTCGACAAACTATGACTTTCTTTGGATACATTAAGACAAAATATGACTTTTTATGGAGACATTTTAACACCCTATATACTATGACTTTTTCCGACATACTATACTAATATTCTTTTTAGACATACTGTATTATCATTTCTTTCCAACATCCTATACTATGACTTTTTCTTGACAAACCACTCTGAAGACTTTGATGAAATGAACTTGTCAGAAAGTGCCAGGTACTTTACAAACGCTGCAGCCCTTCCTGTTCAAAGAGGATTTAAATAAATGATTGAAAAACAACAGCAGGAGTCTGTTTAAAGTGCCTTTCACTTTTTATATAACTCACCCTTTTAAATGTAATTGAGGCTTTAAGTTTCACTAAATAAATGGGGTTGTATATTTGAGTGGAAGGTGGGTGCTGCCACAGGTTGCTAACCACTAGCAGCTAGTTGTTAGCCGCTAGTTGTTAGCTGCATTTTAGCACTTCTTGTCCCCGGGTCTGGAGGTCAATGGTTTTCTGAAGGTGTTTTTGGTCTGAAATAAGCTCTGTGGTTAACACAAGCTGGAGAGATTTAAATTCTACGACATCAAATATGTCAGTAAATACATCTCGGCAATAATCCAAAATCACATGGAGAGATCCCATTGGACGAGGGAGATGCTGCCTTCAGGGTCCAACAGAGAAATACCACATCCCTGCGCCACTCTACTCTGAGAAACTAATGGTCCCCCCCCCCCCCCCCCCCCCCCCCCCCCTTTAGACAGTCAGAGTTGCAGATATGACTTACTGTAATTGAAGTTGTTTTTACTGTTTTACTCCTTAAAAACGTACGTACAATACTGTGTGTGTTAATGCTATTTTATTGTCCTTTTTATAATGGTGCTATGATCTAACCGGTCCTCTGTTTTCTGAGGGTGCGGTACACGTTGAACAGCTGCATTATGTTTACTAACAGTATACTTGAAGTGAGCGTATCAAACATTTGCTTTGTGTGTAAAAGTGTAATAAAGGTCTGAGTTATGGAGCAACCAAATATCACATGTTCAGCGTTCATTTATTCTTCACCATCACTCATTCTTCTTCTGTGGGAGGATTTTCTTTCTGAAATAGTATAACATAAGCATGTTCATGACCTTATATTTAACATATTATACTATGACTTTAAATAAATGATGAAGGACATAATGTGCTATGTTCTTTTAGTAAAACATTTGACATACTTTACTATGTTTGTTTTTCCGACTTACTATAAATGTGACTTATTTGGGATACATTTCAACAAACTACGACTTATTGTGGATACATTTAGACAAACTACGACTTATTGTGGATACATTTAGACATCCTATACTATGCCTTTTTCTCGACAAACCATTCTGTGACTTTTTTTGACAAAATTCCACTGAAGATTAACATCAGAATTACATTACAATACATTTTTGCAGACACTTTATCCAAAGCAACTTACAATAATGTCCAACAACCATGAAGATAAAGACGTACCGTAGGGAACATTAGCTTTAAATAAGTTAAACAATTTAACTGCAACGTACAGCAGTGAGATTTTATTTTTCAGAACGGACATTAGTTTCTTTTTTCCCCCCAAGAAATATGAAAAATGTGAATACATTACATGTTACTTGTTAGATGCTTTTATCCATACTCAATACTGTGGACAATCCCCACAGGAGCAATTTGGGGTGAAGTGTCTCAGGGACACAACGACATGCTGACTGCAGTGGGGTTTGAACCTGTGCTCCCCTGATCCCAACACCAACGCACTACTCCACTGCGCCACACGCCTCCCAGTAAAATAAAATGTGGTAAAAATAGTAATCCGGCAGTGGCTCAGTCAGTCAGTGGCTCAGTCAGTAGGGGCTTGGACTGGGAGCCGTAGGGTCGCTGGTTCAAGTCCCCGACCAGACCTAAATATGGAGTGTGGACTTCTACTTGGAGAGGTCCCAGTTCACCTCCTGCCCTGCCGTGGTGCCCTTGAGCAAGGCACCGGACACCCCCCTTCCCCCCCACTCCCATTGCTCCCCGGGCGCTGTACAATAGCTGCCCACTGCTCCTAGTACTAGACTCCTTGTACTAGGATGGGTTAAAAGCAGAGGCCAAATTTCACTGTGTGTGCTGTGTGCTCTGCATGTGTGACCATTAAAGAGGGTTTCATCCCTCCCTATTCTATTCTATAATAATCTGAAGTTTAAGAAAAATGTCGAATAGAAGATACAATTAAAATAAAATATGTATACATAGATAAGAAGTAAAAAAAATGAAAAATAATTCCAATAATAACTAGAATAAAAATGTTTACACATTATACTACAATTTATACCATGTATATTACAAGATATACACAGGTGGATTAGTTGTATTAACAGTTTAACGCAGCAGCACTGCCCCCTTGTGGCTCAAAACAAACACTACACTTTTATCTCTGCAGAAGAAGAAAGTGGTTTCACTAACGGATGTTTGGGATCCTTTCATTCGCTATCCCAGCATGCATTGCTGTGTACGGTACAGAAAAAGATAAATAAAATAACAAATACGTTTAAAAAAAAAAGAATAATAAGTACTTATTTAATGTGAAGATTTGCAGCTTTACTTGGTTGTAAATTAGGCATTATTATTGATAGGAAAAAGTTGTATAATGCTGTGAGCAGTGGCTTTGCATTGTGGGTAATGTAGTCACCAGGTCACACTATTAAATGGGTCCTATTGTGCTTTATGTAGGTTATAGTGCATGTAAATGGTCTACAAAGGCTAACATGTTCGTTCCTTCTACAAACACGCATGTGGTTTCCATCTCTGGGTTAAAGTTAAAATGTATTTCATATCTCTGTGTTTATTAAAAACCCACACAGAAGAATGCATGATTTACTGATCCTGGTGAGGGTTTCCTTTCTACAAAAGTCAGCGGTCAGGGAAAAACAGACGAGCCACTGAGGCGTCGTGGTGTTCTCAGATCCTACGTCTCTCCGCTCCTGTGAGAATAAAACCAATGTTTGAAAATCCCTACGACTATTAAATATCGCCCTTGAAAGCAGACCAAGTTGAACCGAAGCCCTGGAGTCCGTTCAGCTCTTGGATCCTAACTTCTCGACTGTAAATAAAAAAAAAAAACACTAGTCTTTTTGCAAGATTGATTCATAAGATGTGAAAAAAGCAACACATAAAACCAGGATCCAGCACCGTGTTAAAATCTGTACACTTTTTATTTGTCAGCAAACACCTTTTAGATCAACAAAAACAATGGATTTCAACTGAAAAAAGAAACATAGAAAAGTCCAGTCAACAGAACTCCTGATAAATAAACTAAACCAACAATCATACATTTTATTTACATCTTTAGAAATCACGATAAAAGGTTGATCTTTTGTGCTATGGCATTCAGAAATCTGTACGTGTACATGTAGTCATTTTATACTCTAACATTACATACAGCAGTTTATCCAACATTTGTAAAGATTTTATTAACATTACATCATTATTTCAGCTTCACAGGTAAGGTCTGGTCACACCCGGAAGTTGTGCAGGGAATTTAATTTGTGCTTTTCTGCAAAGTATTTTGTGCTAGAAGCTCGGATACAGTCTCACAGGGCTAGCCAGGGAACTGCTGTAGCTAGCTAGCTGCTAACTCTGGCTAGCAAACCTCTAACTCTGGCTAGCAAACCGCTAACTCGGGCTAGCAAACCTCTAACTCTGGCTAGCAAACCGCTATTTATGGCTAGCAAACCTCCAACTCTGGCTAGCTGCTAATGCTGGCTAGCAAACCTCCAACTCTGGCTAGCAAACCTCTAACTCTGGCTAGCTGCTAATGCTGGCTAGCAAACCTCCAACTCTGGCTAGCAAACTGCTAACTCTGGCTAGCAAACCTCCAACTCTGGCTAGCAAACCTCCAACTCTGGCTAGCTGCTAATGCTGCCTGGCAAACCTCCAACTCTGGCTAGCAAACCTCCAACTCTGGCTAGCTGCTAACGCTGGCTAGCAAACTGCTAAATCTGGCTAGCAAACCTCTAACTCTGGCTAGCTGCTAACTCTGGCTAGCAAACCTCCAACTCTGGCTAGCAAACAACTAACTCTGGCTAGCAAACTGCTAACTCTGGCTAGCAAACCGCTAACTCTGGCTAGCAAACAACTAACTCTGGCTAGCAAACCTCTAACTCTGGCTAGCTGCTAACTCAGGCTAGCAAACCTCTAACTCTGGCTAGCTGCTAACTCTGGCTAGCAAACCTCTAACTCTGGCTAGCTGCTAACTCTGGCTAGCAAACCTCTAACTCTGGCTAGCAAACAACTAACTCTGGCTAGCAAACCTCCAACTCTGGCTAGCTGCTAACTCTGGCTAGCAAACCTCTAACTCTGGCTAGCTGCTAAATCTGGCTAGCAAACCTTCAACTCTGGCTAGCTGCTAACTCTGGCTAGCTGCTAACTCTGGCTAGCAAACCTCTAACTCTGGCTAGCAAACCGCTAACTCTGGCTAGCAAACCGCTAACTCTGGCTAGCAAACCGCTAACTCTCGCTAGCAAACCGCTAACTCTGGTGCTAACCCAGATTTTACCTTTAAAGTTCTGTTTACTCCCACTTGTGCTTTAATCCTCAGTGTAGACCATTTAAAATAAATAAATAGTTATTAAAGAGGGGGAATGAAGCGCTCAGTAATAGCACGCTTGCTAACGGGCTGTTGTTAGCTTAGCTCAGTAGCTAACGGGAGAATAAATTCATGGTTAATTCAAAGAACATACTTGTAGGATTGACTGCTGTCCATTACAAACATTATTTAAACTGGACGACTGATGTAAAGAAGGCCCTGGTCCAATGGGAATTGCTCGCTTAGTGCATTCGTTCTTAGACATTTTATTTTCTTATTTAATGTTTTTGGGTGACTTAACATTGTTGATTGAAGTGAAGATTAGAATATGCTTTTCAACAACTTCTGTGTTTAGCTCAACTCATTAAATGTCTGAATAAAGACAGCAGCTTAGATGAAACTTTGAGGTACAAAACAGCAGCTAATTATCTACGGAAGCTATTTAGCTACGACAGCTTTTTAGCCACCCCTCCAACTCCTGATTTCTTTAAAGCCTTGTCAAGATGGCTTCCTTTTGGTTCAAAAAAGCTAATTTAAGAGTCAAATTCACCAAAGTTGGACTTAATGTGAAACATCTGAGCTGATTCACCTTTCCCCCCCATTGAGCAAATACCTATTAGCAGCATTTTCATTGGAATAATTCAAAAATAAATGCAACATTTTAAACATTTTGAACCCTGGTGTGACCATCCCTGTTCACTTCAACACATTCAAAACCATTACAGGCACTGTCAACTAACAAGAGCACTTTTAATACTTCGGTCAAAGGCAAATCTCACAATAAAATATGGATATATCAGACAGTAGTCACCAAACACTATGCATAGCACAGTTTACAGAAAGAACAAAGAAGCATTGATAATATATAACACACTGAACACAGAGCGGCCACATGTTTTGGCTTTCTTACATTTACAAGATGCACATTTTTGTTGGACGTTTGACTGGAATGTGTTTATGCTGACGATCTTAAGGGTTGTCAGTTTTAACTATAAGGTCAAACATTATAAAGTAAACATGCAGAAAGATAAATAACCAGACACCCTTGAAAGAAATAAGGAATAAAGCAAACAAACCTCTTGATTAAATGCTTTCATAAGATAATAAAGTGCAGCATTGGTTTGGATGAGTTCCTTCGTTAGACATGAATTACCCTGACGTTTTGGCTTGGAGTGTCCCACAAATAAATATACTAAATGTTGCTTTTGAATCCAAACTAAAGGATTATTACTCATTACATTGTGCTAGTTGTCTCATTAAATTACAAACAGATTGCAGACTGTAACCCTTAAAGGTAAAAGGAAGTCAGGAATATAGATATCTTGGTCATAAAGGATTCTCACGCACATTACATGGGAACGGGTCGATTGTAGAGACGCAGCTTTTTAGGTCGTTTGGGGGGGGGGGTCCTCATTGGGGGGGGGGGGCACTGATGTGGACCTTGAAGAACTGTTTGATATCTACAGAAACACAAAGATGAACACAAGAGTGAGCTTTAAATAAGACAGAAAATGTGTAATCAATAACAATAACTTTATTCACACACAGTTCACAACCTGCCGTCCTGTCATGTAATGGAGTCATGAGGTATTTTCAAAGAGTAGGGCTGTCCCCAAACTACCTTTTGTCACGAAAACTAAAAAGTGACAGTCTTCTGATTCCACTGAGGCACTACATACTGATGTACACCTGAACATCAGCAGGAGAGGACTCTTTAAAGTAGAGACACTACATACTGATATACACCTGAACATCAGCAGGAGAGGACTCTTTAAAGTAGAGACACTACATACTGATGTACACCTGAACATCAGCAGGAGAGGACTCTTTAAAGTAGAGACACTACATACTGATATACACCTGAACATCAGCAGGAGAGGACTCTTTAAAGTAGAGACACTACATACTGATATACACCTGAACATCAGCAGGAGAGGACTCTTTAAAGTAGAGACACTACATACTGATATACACCTGAACATCAGCAGGAGAGGACTCTTTAAAGTAGAGACACTACATACTGATATACACCTGAACATCAGCAGGAGAGGACTCTTTAAAGTAGAGACACTACATACTGATATACACCTGAACATCAGCAGGAGAGGACTCTTTAAAGTAGAGACACTACATACTGATATACACCTGAACATCAGCAGGAGAGGACTCTTTAAAGTAGAGACACTACATACTGATATACACCTGAACATCAGCAGGAGAGGACTCTTTAAAGTAGAGACACTACATACTGATATACACCTGAACATCAGCAGGAGAGGACTCTTTAAAGTAGAGACACTACACACTGATATACACCTGAACATCAGCAGGAGAGGACTCTTTAAAGTAGAGACACTACATACTGATATACACCTGAACATCAGCAGGAGAGGACTCTTTAAAGTAGAGACACTACATACTGATATACACCTGAACATGAGCAGGAGAGGACTCTTTAAAGTAGAGACACTATATACTGATATACACCTGAACATCAGCAGGAGAGGACTCTTTAAAGTAGAGACACTACATACTGATATACACCTGAACATCAGCAGGAGAGGACTCTTTAAAGTAGAGACACTACATACTGATATACACCTGAACATGAGCAGGAGAGGACTCTTTAAAGTAGAGACACTATATACTGATATACACCTGAACATCAGCAGGAGAGGACTCTTTAAAGTAGAGACACTACATACTGATATACACCTGAACATCAGCAGGAGAGGACTCTTTAAAGTAGAGACACTACATACTGATATACACTGATTTTCATAGTGTTTTCTGTCCCAACTAGACCAAAAGCTTTAACCTCCAACTGCCACATGAACTGCTTTTATCAAACAGCATTTCAACATATACCTTCATTTCTCTCAATTCAACACTTTAGCAGAACCTTGAGCCCCATTCAGTGCTTCAACCTACATTTAAAAGTATCTTATATCAGGGTTTAGTCTGCACCGGGTAACAGGAGCGCTGCGCCCTCAAACCAAAATGCAGAATTTCCCTGAAAAATGTTAAAGGGATGCCAGAAAACAATATTTCTGTTCCTGTATAATTCCTCCAGAAATGTGAGTATCAAACAGAGCGTCAGACGGCAGAGACAGCTTGGTTTTTACGGAGCTCCGACGTCACGTTGTTGTTTACGTCACGTTGTTGTTTACGTCACGAGACATCTTGTATACGGGCGTCATGTTCTCCAGATAATTGAGATATCTTATAAATAAGATCAGAGACACAGAACTCATACTAGGCTATATCTTTCTAGAAAACCCCCTGCAATACTTTTACCTTAATTTATATTGCCAATACTGAATGAATTACTCGCTAAATCCTTTGAATGCTAACACCTTGACTGACAAATCAAACTCTTGTGTTCCTAAATGTACATCTGAATTAGTCAGGGTTTCAGTTATAGAAGCAGAAAAACAAATGTGGATTAGATTCTGTATTCAAATAATTGCGAAAATGTTAGCCGAGGCTTTTGGACCTTTTTTATTTGGCGTATTTTTTCTTTGTGCTGAACACAAACTGCTCCGCCCTTGACTGACACTGATAGATATTCAGGATTTGGTCTAAATCAGATAATCTGTCTGCTGGCTCTCCACATGCAGACCACTCTTACACAACAGTTCAAACTAAGCCATCTCTATCTCACACACACACATTGCAAAACACTGCGTCTTCAGCTCGGCTTGTTGGAAGAGGCATCAAGCGTTTGTTTATGGTGTTGAAACCAAAAGCCGGTATTGTTCAGTCAGGTATTTATGAAGAAGGTGTGAACATATGTTGACCAACAGAGAAGGTGGAAGAAGTACTTAGATCCTATACTTAAAGGGGACCTATCATGCAAAATGCACTTGTGTACGTCTTTTCTACATGAATATGTGTCCCCGGTGTTCCAGGGAACTCACCAAGTGTCAGAAAACACAACCCTCTCTATTTTCCTCCATACCCAAATCTCTAAAAAAGGGGCTGCAACAGATCTGATAAAAACTGATCCAGATTTGAACACTGTCCTGACGTCAGGACGGTGGCGCTACGGCTATTGGGCCAACTCCACCAATCAGGAGGAGACAGCCACGGACATTGCCGTTCTAAAGTGCTGGAGACGCTGTAGTACATATGCCAGGCCAGTAGGTGGTGCTGTTCTCACTGAATCTGCCCTTGCTAAAACAGAGCTAGAAATGGTCAAATTGAGCAAAATGAGGCATGGCTAAAATGCATGATCTGTTTGGTATTTTGAAAAAAAAAAAGTATAAATATGCCTTATATAGGTATGGTCCTACACTATATTATTATAATATAGCATGATAGGTCCACTTTAAGAAAAAGTAGAAAAACGATGGTCTTAAAAGAATAAAAGTCCTACATTTGAGAAACCAATTAAGAAGTACAGAAGTATTATCAGCTACATCTACTTCAAGTGTCACAATATAAACTATTTAGCTCTTTTCACAGTAACATTATATTATATAGTATTATATTATGCTGGTTTTGTCAGTAACAAATAGATGTAGGTGCTTTTTTATGTTGTATTTTGTCAATGTGCAGCCAATTCTAGATGTGTAGTCAACAAGCTGGTGGATTAGTAGTTAAGTAGTGCCTCATATCAGCATAGCATGTGTTTTAATATGTTCGAATCAGAGGGGTCAACACTCATTTAGCAAAAGCTCAATTTCTAAGTGACCTAAGATGCCGTTTGTGTGTAAACGAAAAAGGCAAAGACTCTTGCATTGTAAGACGATATTGGACATGAATGGCCACGTGTTAATGAAGGTTAGATATTGAGTGTGCAGGAGACTGGAGGATGAAGAGGCTCGAACTCTGGAGGAATGGATGTTTTACTGTGTGTGCAGGGTCTGCTTTCTGTGGTTCATCCCGTCTTCCAGCATGGCAGCGCTCCAACGCACTTTTCTCTCAACAGCTCCTTATAAACGTCTTGGGTTTACATTCCTCAACGGGACATGTTTGTGTATGGAGGCTCTCTGCAGGCATTTCAAACGGGAAGATTAATCCCCGTCTGCTTCTGTACGATAATGGCAGCCGTGGTTTATCCATCAATCCAAAATGTTGCCAAACACAACAGTCCCTATAGGTAAAATATTTACAGGCTGTCTTCCACGCTACAGTGCAGTCTGCAGAGTCTGTACTCAAGTAGTTTCCAGTATGATCGGGGCCCAGGAAGACACAGAGGAAATGCATTTTTCAGTTCACACGAGGAAAGAAAGGGATTTACTGTGACAGAGATTGATATCATTTATGGGATGAGATCTCGAGGCAATAACCTGAGGGATATAAAAGCCATCTGTGGTCATACTGTCTCTCTGGGATGGTACATTACTGCTGAGGAATGATAACTGTTGACCAAGAAACTAAATGTACAACAGGGGGAATCAGGAAGAGAGCATTTTCATAGCTGGAAAAACCTTTCCCTGAAAATATCAACAATTTGGGAGGTTTTCTCTTCAACTAAGGCTTAAAAAACGTTATTTCCAGTGTAGTAAAAGTACTTCATTGGCAGCCTTTTCTTCACAATAACAACTCAACAATGACTATTCTTGGACGTATTATCCTACTGTTTTAATGTATTCAACGCCCTGCATGTGTAGCTTAGCTCCTAACTAGTAAAACTGTTTCCTCTATCGTCCAAAATATTTCCTTTTCAGATGGTGATTTAGCCGTTTGACCTTCTGCACTCCTTTGACGTAAACGAGGGATACCTTACATGTTGTGCCGGTCCGTGATGTTATCTAACATTCTTGGAGGAAACTGATTTATTGGCTGAATTCTTGCATAATCCACAGAGAGATAGACAAGAAGCAGAACTGGGAGAACATGCAGGCAGCTCAGAAAACATGAGTTTAAAGTTGATTTAACATTAGCTTTATCTTTCGTGTTGGTATTGGAAAGACTATGTGAGTAGCATAATTAATGTGGACAGTCCACTATCAGCGTTTGAGCTATTTCTCCAGAGCTAAACCCAGAGAGTCAATACATTATTTCAGTGTGAATAAGCCTCTGATTAAGCAGGAAAGCTAACTGTGCTAACGCTTGACGAACTGGGACGATGAAGAGAACAAGTTTCTGTTCATTATTATCATTATTATTATTATTATTAAACAGAGCAGAGACAACGTACAAACCTGTACCCAAAGCTCAGAAAACATGTATCTTAAAGGGGACCTATCATGCAAAATGCACTTTTGTACGTCTTTTATACATGAATATGTGTCCCCAGTGTTCCAGGGAACTCACCAAGTGTCAGAAAACACAACCCTCTCTATTTTCCTCCATACCCAAATCTCTAAAAAAGGGGCTGCAACGGATCTGATAAAAACTGATCCAGATTTGAACACTGTCCTGACGTCAGGACGGTGGCGCTACGGCTATTGGGCCAACTCCACCAATCAGGAGGAGACAGCCACGGCCATTGCCGTTCGAAAGCGCTGGA